ATATATATATATATATGTGTGTGTATATATATATATATATATATATATATATCAAATGGAATATGTTTAATACCTCTCCTATTAAGCACAAAGCATGAATCTGCAAACAGGAACAGCCAAACCCATAACAGAAACAAGCCAAATAGTGATGAGATACTGATGACACCAAGTTACTGGTTTCCATTTGATCTCTACACTTGAACTCTTCATCCTCTTCCCATTTCCAGGCTCCTTTGACAGATCAAAGCTGACCCCTTTCATCCTCAGCTCCTGAATGCATCTCGTTAACGCTCGACTGTCTGTCCTTTCCATCTGCAACTGTCCATAAACCTTCCAGTACCTGCAAAGTTTCATCTGAACCAACAAGATCATCATACAGCAAGTAGATAACGAGACCAGAATCGGAATCCACCATTTTCGACATGAGTTAGAGTTATGAGATGATGTGAATAAGATGGTAAAGAAAAACCCATGAAATGTGAAGAAAAATAGACAGAGTTGGAATATCTCTCGAGTGAGAGCGTCGATTCGTGTTTCTTTGCGGGCAATCCTACGGCCGAATAGATCTTCTTCTCTCTGCCAAAGCTTTAACAGAAGAAGGTGGCCGGGGGATTCTGAGATTTCCATTAATGGGTGGTCTTGTATGGCGGCGATGGTGGAAATCCGATGATCTCCGTCCACCATGATTTCGACCACGTGATGTTGGGCGTCTTTCACTTCCGCCATTGATGGATCAAATCCAAGAAACTAGATACGAGATTAATCTGTAAGATTCGCAGAGACTAAATTCAAATTCAAGAAACCAAGCGCTAGCGTCAAACTGTATTGAGATTCGTCGGATTTTTTGAGATATTTAAAGCGTATCCTAACGGTCATTTTTTCTGTGGTGGTCACAACGGTCGAATTTAAAGAATCTACATGGAGAAAATATAAATTTATAAACTATTTTAATAATATAATATAATTAATATTGAAATATTTAAAAAAATAATATTTTTTAGAAATTTTAACTTTTTTTTTAAAGAAAACTAGTTGTGTAACTGCGTAATGGGGCGGGAGCCGTGAATTTTAACGATTTTGAAGTTTCACTGGTTTTATTAGAGAAAATTTAACGATGATGCAAGTTACATTTGGTCTTTACATATTAATACAATTTGAATAAATAAGAGTTATGGTTCCAATTACAGTCTATCGATGAAAAAAAATTGTATGACAGTTTAAAATCCAATATATTTAAACGACTCTACAAATGTGTTCGATTTACACCAAGAGCAAAGAATCAAGAGATCGAAAGCGAGACCGAGAGTTCTAGAGCAATTGAATGAGAGATGAATGAGAGAACTTTTAATAACTCATGGTAAATATCAATTTGAATCTCACCTTGGGGGATGAGTAGAAAACATAGAGGTATGCAAAGGTAAATGTATAAGTGAAATGTGTCAAAAGTATATTTGGTTCATAAAAAAAATGTAATAATGTGCATTGATAACTTGTACTATATGTTATTTTAATTCTAGATTAAAAAAATTTAAAACTGAATGCATTATGAGTTGTTTTTAAGACTTTGTGCATAAATGTATAGTACTTTGAGCATTAAAAATTGTTTTTAAGACTTTTGATAAATTTAGTTTATAAGGTAGTATAGATGATAGGCAATATCCCACCAATGTACTAAGCGGTTGCTTGGTTGATTTTTCATTAAGTTTATATGTATGAAACTGTTTGCATAGATTAATCCGTCTGTATAGATTGAATTTTTTTTTGAAGGGTTTCATCGTAGAGGAATGAACATGTTTTTTAATTGGGAGCGACAAAATTTGAAATGTTTTGCATAAAACTTCTCCTATAAGCTTACTTAATAAACCATTTTCTATATCATTGAATCACTACTAAACAGTCATGCATAGCTGAGGGAATGAATTGCGAGCCCCGTTAAGCTGCTAATTAACATGCTCTAAACATATAAAGCATGACGGTCTCAATTTGTGGGGATCAAAAAATAAAGAGGTTTCTGAACATGATCCACAAGTACAACGATCAAATCTGCAATTTATAAGGGAAGCTCATACATCATCACTACATTTATTATTTTCCTTTTTTGTAATTATTATTATTATTATTATTAATTAATTAATAATTAATTAATTTATACGAGAGGATTCATGAGATCATTGGAAGGTAGATCCCACAACTCACACTCCCCGCTGAACATAATTCGTCCATCTTTTTCTCCTGAACACTCATCCCCATTCTCATCTACTCCCATTTTCGACTGAAGCTGCTCACCTGCCGTGCACGTGCTTCCTGTACACATACTCTGACTCCATGGAGACCCACCTTCTCCTTCATGCCCGAACGACGGCAATGCGTAATGGAACCCCGGAAAGTTCGCCGACGATGCTCCATTGCTGCTCTCCCATGGCAATTTGTTCGATGGAGTCATCCTCGTCTCGGGGGATTCCTGTATAATCGCCCTCGATAACCCTATCTTGATCTTTTCGATCGTATCATCATCGTGTTCTTCATGTTTTGAATTATTGTTGTTATTATTATTGACCGTCGCTGGTGCAGGAGCAGGGGATTGGAATTGAATATCGATGTGTTTCTTGGTGAGCAGATGAAGCATTTCATCTTTTAAGCAGCCGAGAGTTGCTTCAGCGAGGTTAGCCACCTGTGGTGGTGCCAGAGTGTTGGCTATCTCAGCCATCAGATGGGAGTATGGCTTATGAGTCACGGGATCAATTCCCATACCCGAAAGCTTCTTTCTCAGTTTCGTGTTCCAATGGTTCTTCACATCGTTGTCTGTTCGTCCGGGCAGCTGTGCCGCGATCACCGACCACCTGTGCTTCCATTTTTAGGTACCATCTTTCAGATTTTGGTTCATGAGAATGTATGTATACATATGTATATATATATATATATAGGGTCAGGTTCGCTGGAAAATAGCAAAAAAATAAAACTAAGGAATACTGTTCATCTAGACAGTATTCACATGTGCATACAAGTAATTTGTCCGGTATGCACATGTGAATAGCATGCACATGCATAAAAACCAAGAAATAGTTTCAATACTTGCACATGTGTGTGCATACAATGGTTTTGTACCTGGGTGTTTTTCATTTCCTTAGGGTTTTCCCAGAACCTTCCTATATATATGCATGCAATGGTTTTGTACCTGTTGCCTAGGACAGAATGTAGCCTGACGATGATTTGTTCTTCAGCATCGGAGAACTGACCATGTTTTAGATCAGGGCGAAGGTAGTTAGTCCAGCGTAATCTACAGCTCTTCCCACATCTTTGGAGGCCTGCATTCTTGGGAATCAGCCGCCAATTACGAGTCCCATGTTGGGAGATGTAGGATGAGAGCTTGTGATCTTCTTCAGGGGTCCATTGACCCTTCTTCACACTCTCCTTTTCACAACATGGAATTCGACCCATCTCCTTTTTCCTTTATAAAGGTTGCTTGAAAACAGCTGGTTTACAGAGTTAAGTCTGTAGACATTGAATTAAAAACATAAAAATTATAATAAAATAATAATAATAGGGGAAGGAGGAAGAAGAAGATGATGATTTTGTGTTGAATAGAGAGGGAAAGGGAAGGGCGTGTTAGTTTTAATTTAATTTAGGTTCAAGAATATCAATGGTTAAATATATATTTTGTGGTTGAGTGAGGTATTTAAGTAATAGAAATGGAGGGCAATGCATGATTAGCATAAAAGGTGCATGACTTTATGGTTTGTGAATAAAGAATTCAACGCCGTAGAGCGTGTGAGACATTGGCAGGTAGCTCACTCATAAAACACTCGGTCAACTCCTCTCTCTAGCCTGCGTATACGTGTGCATATCGTTGACTGTGTGGAGAGTTGGGTGGCTTACCGATCTACTGCTCATACAAGGTTGCTGCCTTAACGAAAGTTGAGGTTTCAGGTGCACGTGTGCCTGCTATCTCAATCTCATGTCTTGTTTTTTGGTTGAACATGAATCTTTTGTCAAGCTCCTTTCTTTGCATTGCAAAGCTGTCCTGAAAGAAAGACTTGCTGGTCTCTGTGTGCACCTTGTGCTCTGTTTTCTCGGACTCACTCTTTTAATCGCCATTATGACCGCTTTACCCCTGCCTCAAAACCAAAAAACAGAAAACCAGACTTGTAGAGAGGAATAGCCAATACCCACACAAAAGGGTAAATGTAGAAAGAAGCAGGTTTCAATTCGGCATGAATAATAAATGACTAATTGTACGTTTATTTTCAGCTATAAGAAAGTAGCAACTGCATCATACAAGGGATTTAGTATACAAATTCTGGGCATGAAACTACTAGCCAAATCTTTTGGCAATCAGCCCTTCAATGGAACCAGACAAAACATAAATGGTTACAAGTAGGCAAAAAGTGCTATAAACACGAAGAACAATCCACTTGCCGGTCCAAGGTACAATCTTCTTCTGTACAAAGTACATCTCAACTGGGAAATATATGGTCAAGGGCCAGAAGATGATTGATCCTGCAAATGCCACCACCTCATTGAAGTACGGAAATAACATCCCTACGGCCATGGTCAAAACCACATATGTAGTTCGAAAACATAACCTAAGAGGATTCACTCTAAACTCTGGCAATAACAAGACCTTCAAACTCCCAACATCCCTTGTCAATACACTTTCTGGAAACTTTTCGGCATACCATCTTTCCACAATTGCAAACAATGTCTGACTATATATCTAACACATATTCAAAACACAATGAAAATGATAAGGATAAAGATAAAGAGGCCCTATGACCAAATTGGTACTAGGGTAAAAAGTCTTTAGTAGGTCAAGATTATGTGATACCTGATACCCTCCAACTAAGTGAAGAACAATGCACGCGTTAGAAAAGTCAATGAGCCAATACGGTTCGTAAAATCCAAACCCGGTCAAGAGATTCCCAGGAGTCGAATCTCCAAAGGCTGCATAACCAGAAGAAGCACAGCAGAGGTAGAAGAAAGTAGTTGTAAAGATTGCAATTGAGGAAGCCTTCTTCATTGTCACTTTTTGAGATGGAGGTGACTTCAAAGTGCTCTACATATCACAAACATCACACAACTGATTGAGGCAGCTAGTATGAGATAAAATACAAAGATTTATTAGACAGAAGGAAATGTTATACCTGTATTTCAAGAAGGATTAACGAAAATGTGAATGAAAATGCGATATCTCCAAGAGCTTGAGCAACCAACCATATTTTTTGAGTGTGATTAACAGTTGAGATTCCGTTGATGCTACCTTCAATCTTCCCTTGTCCTACAATCCCATATTCAACAGGCAACTTGATCATATGTTTGTGGTTTAAAAGCAAGATCATAGATCAACATGTTGAAGACCAAAATCCATACCTATTACTTGAGCTATTCCAAGTGCCATTCCAATAAAAGAATAGGTGAAGGACATGGTTGCAGCAATAACCGAGAGCCATTTTGTATGAAAAATGTTGGGTATTTGAGAAGCTAGTATTTGAACAAATCCAAACAGAAGCATATAATATTTATCATCGTATTCACACACAGCATCATGTCCTTCTTCATGATAACAGTTTGATTGCCTAATCGCTCTGTCACGCAGTCAAAAGATTCAAAAGAAGAAGCAATGTTATAATCAAGATTTCAACAAATCAATATCGGGTATATCTAACATAAAGCAAAAGATCATAGAGGAAATGTTTCGGCCATTTTCAGAAACTGCTGCAGTTCAAATGCAAGAAAAGTCGGCATACCTCATGCTGATTGCGGATGTGATTGTATAGACAACTCCAGTTTTGAATATACTGAAATATACCAAGCAACCACATAACAAGCCATTCTTATATCCTGTGATCCAGTCTCAGGATGAGATATAAGCAAGGTGAAAGTTGATTCTATTTATGGGGGTGAAGTTAAAGAAATAGTACCTCACCTAAGATGGTGCGAACCGCCTGCAAGTAGGAGCGATTCATGGTGGTAGTGCCATTGTTAGGGTTGGAATAAAGATGGACATCAGAGATAAAGGATGCAGAGACAAGGGTGATGAATGCAAAGAGTAGAAGAGTGAAGGGGCCAGCAATCCATCCCAGCTGTGCCATGCTCCAAGCTAGTGATAAAACCCCTGATCCTATTACTCCTGTAATAATATGTGCTATGGCTGTCCATACGTTTCCTGCAATCAACAACACAAATCGAATTCGACCCCTAAATCTTATCATCAAATTCGAAGAATATGAATGAAATTTCTTCTAGAGTTTTAAGAAGTTGACGTCAGAAAAAGCTAATCAGATCAAAATCGTGACTAGATTATTGGTTATGAGTTTGGAACTGAATGATAGTAGAGCAAACCAGTGAGGGTATGAGGTGAGCTCGGCAACAATGGCGTTTGGTCATCATAGTCTCCTCCAGCTCCAGCCATTGTTCCGTGGTAGATGAGATAATATCTGTAAGGAAAAAAATTTACACCTCTATAAGAATAGGATTCTGAAAATTCAACGATTTCTAGCTGACGGTCGCTTTCCGTCGTCGTCTCCGATTTAGGTTCCTCCTTTCGACATGTTTTTCAATTATTAATTTCTTAGTAAATCATTTTTTTTATTAACTTGAATATCCAACCTGTTTTGTGAGTAACTCGGATCATATTTGAACCTTCATGGTCATCATATTTGAACCTCCACGGCCATAAGAGAATTTTTATTCTTTCTTGGATTTGAACCTGAGACTTCCTGATATTTTTGACCTTTAAAACTCAAATTCAAACCAATTAGGCATCACCTTGTGATCAAAAGCATTTCTTTTTATTGATTAATTAGATGCCCCAAAATTGAATGTTGATAAAATATATAAATAAAGTTTCTTTTAATTAACCTGATATCCAACTTGTTATGTTTTACGGGTGATTTGAAATCACCGTATTTGAAATCACCGTATTTGAACCTTTGTGGCTACAAGAACATTTTTATTTTTTCTTGGATTTGAATCTGGGACCTTTAGATACTTTTGATCTTTGAAGACTAAGCTCAAACCAATCAGACACCACTCTCATAGTTAAATTAAGGTTTTCAGTCTTAACAGATGTAATTTATGCCATCAAAGTTCAAAAAATTTATTAAATATTTACAAATTACAAGGAAAGGAATCCAACATTAAAAATATAAAAAATGGTCGTCTTTTTATTTTTAAAAACCATCTTCAATCAACACAAAAAATATTTTATTCAACCACAAGAGTGGTGTCTGATTGGTTTAAACTTGGCTCCAAAGGTCAAAAGTACCTGTAGGTTCCAGGTTCAAATCCAAGAGGAAATAAAAACTTCATGTGGCCATGGAGGTTCAAATGCGGTGACTCCGGGCTATCTGCAAAGCAGGTGGTCATCCTGGAATTAGTCGGCTCGCATAGCGGGTTGGATATCCAAATTAATATATATATATATATA